TAGTGTAGGTTTTACTGAAATGAGATTCAAGCAAGGATTTTATTTCTTATAGGTGGCAGCTCTATGCAAATTAAAAAGCGAGTGTCAATAAATACACACTTAGGGATTGCCTTTATCATGCATTTTGATTTTTGTCTTAGTGTTTTGCTGCATTTCCTCAGAAAAGTGAAGAAACAAATACTGTGTTAATAATTAATGGGTTGGCTAATTGAGTTGCTGCCCTTTTCACTTGTGTGATTAGCCGATATACACAGCTTTTTAGAGTTCTTTCCATTAGGATGAGAAGTGGTTGATGTCTGACTTGTATCTTCTTTGGCATTAATTTATGAAGAATATACACAAATTCCCAGTGAACACCTCAGAAGCACAGCAGGCAGTTCCCTTGATGAGAAAATCCTTGTCCGGACCTCCTGTGTGTGCTCTCTCTGGTGAGATCTGCCTTTCTGCCCACTATTGAGAAATCACGGAAACCCAAGGAGTCTGAGAGAGCCCTGCTTCATACAGTGACCCTGTACAATACGAAAACGAGGTGTGAAGTGGCAGTGGCAAGAGGTTTTTCGAGATACAGTCTGCTAAACTGTGCTTTGTAACAAGCACAGGGTGCTACTTCTGGCAAAACATTATCGTATTTAAAAGCAGAGCAACTCCTTAAGCCCCTCAGACTGTCTCTGAATTGCCAGGTACCCTAGGTAATCTGTTTGTTACCTGTAGCCATCTGAGCTATCTGAAAGCTCTTGTTGGCAGCATTCATGACGCCCCATGGTACAGGAGCACAGAGTCCATCCGTAGCTTTCATGGCCATGCAGAAAACCATCAGAAATCAACTCCAAATATAGTATAAAAAAAGTCCCTTGAGTAAAGGAAAAGGCATTCGGGGAGGCTGGATCTGTTGGGAAAATGCTTTTTATTACTCTATTTTTTTCTTTCAAATGTGTGTACTGTACAGTATTTCCTTATAATCTAATCCAACCTTAATGTATTGCTCTGTTTTCGGCATAGGTTGTTTGGATGGATGTACTCCCAACACACACACAAACACCTGCATATGTGCACGTGTGTATTCGTGTATACATTTACATACATATGTATGTGCATAAACAAAATTTAATACAATTCTTTGATTTTTCAGTGCTCGCAACTGGACAGGACTGGAACCACACTTTCTCTTTGGAGGTGTGTAATAGGGTCACCTGGATTTTGAGATGTCCTCTTTTAGGACATGTGCATGTGCTTCCTGGCACAGAGATAATGTGCCCAGTGTCCTGAGCTGGGCATGCGAGTATGCGGCAGTGAATTAATTTGGCCTGGGACAGCTCAGATGGCAAAAATCCTTGACTTATCTGCCAAGAAAACTGAAAATGTGCTTCAGCTGAGATCTGTCAACATGAGAGGAGCAGAGGGCTGCCCAGTCAGCCAGAAGATGAATTTGTGCTTGTTCTGTCAACCGCTGGAGATTGGAATGTCAATATAGAGCCTAATAAACTTCTAGTTTCTAAAGCGTTAGCTGCTCTGAGATCATGTTTAATAACAATCTGGTCTACCTGAGGTCATGCAGCCGTCTGCAGCATTGTCTCCAGGCTGGTAGTGTTGCCAATAGCCTGGCTTATCAGGTCTGCTTAGGTGCGCGATCCACCCAAATTAAATTTTGGCCCCTGGCGGCATCACTTCTCAAGCCTTCCATGTGCAAAGCAAAGGAGATAATTAAAAATAAAAGCTAGGGACTAGAGACTGAGAGATTAATATATTTCATTAGATTGCTTCAGAGAAACTGAAGCAGAGACTGGGTACTGAATGCACACATGCAAATATCCTCATAAGAAGGGTAGGACACCCCAAATTTGATGGAGGTCAGCCCTTACCAAAGGGCTGATAAAATCTTTGTCACTAATCAGGCTCTTAAAAGACTAGAACTAAAAGTGTGAGATCCGCGAAAAGGCATGAACACCACCTCTTTGGTGCAGACGACTGTTTCCCACCTCAGCGCGGCTTGCAAGGCAGTTGGAAGGGAAGTGCAGGGAGTGGGGGTGGATGACTGGGTACCAAAATGCCTTATTACGCTGCCTTCCCCAAAGTTCATTTTTGTGGGATATACAAAGTGCAAAGAAAATATTGAATGCAGAGATTTCTTTCCTTTGTCTTTGTCTTGGCTAGATTAATTAAAAATGTCATTGATCCTGACAGGACTGCCTTAGGGTAATATGGCTGATGCTGTGCTTGCTACGAATAGCTGGTGATGAGGGTAGACGCAGTGATCTTTTTGTGCTGTATTATTCCATTCGAGTCCACTTGGGTTCCTTTTGAACCACATTTCTCTCTAGATTTATTACATTCTCCCTCTATTTATTGATAACGTATGGTAACTTATTCCATGACACTGGAAATGAAATTGGTTGTTGGTGACTGCAGGGTTTTCATTTGGATATTCTTTAGATGCAAAGCAATAATTTAGATAGAGTTAAAGAGAAGACGGGAGACATTTCCCACCCTGCTACACAGATATCTGAGTACTGTTGAATTAGAATAGTGCTCATCTTGCAGCTATCACAAAGCAGTTCTCTAAATATTTCTCATCAAAGCTGAGATTCAGTTGTCAAATGCTGGCAGGTTGGAGCTTGCAAAGCTGGGGAAGGATGGAATAAATGCATTTATGGGCAGAGGGCAGGTGACGGGGTCAGAAGCACACGACAGATCCATTCCTCCCACAGCCCTGCAATTTGTCGTGTGTCTGTCACTCCCATATATAGGGTATGGATTGACTTGGTGACCCATAGGTGAGTGATGGGCCAAAGCATGAAGCATCTGTCTTGTTCTAATAAGGCTGTAGCCATGGCATTACTTGGGTGCCCTAAGAGGCATGAATGCATTTATCACTGTAGTACCCTTTGGACGCTGGGCAACAATACTAAGATTTTTCTTATTTTATTTTAGAGACAACAGGAGAATAAATGTGATGTTAAAGGTCACAGGGGGCATTTCTTGCAGAGCCAGGAACTAAAGCATATTCTTCTAACTTGCAGTCTAATATCTTGACTGCAAGACTCACTTGTCAGGTGGCATCCTAAAAACCTGTTCTATTTTCTCTGTTCTCCGGGGTCTTCTGAATAGATACATGTTGAAAAGGTATCCACAGAACATATAGTTTAACAAGTTTTTCACTGCTTATCCAAGAGTAAGATCACTTTAAAATCAGCTGTGTTCTGTTTTGGTATTATAAATTATTATCTCTGACAGAAAAATATCAATTGTACATTGGCTTTTACTCTATGTCCATTTATGCTTGATGTCTCTCTAAATCAGTGATGGCTAAATTACAGGTGACTCATAGACAGCGATCCAGTGCTAAATCAAGTTTTATTCCTTTGATGAGAAGCCTGGAAGACAGAAATAAGGTGGCTGAAACTTTAGATCTTTCCCAAGAAACACCTTGTTCTTCCTATAAACCCAATAAATGCTTGTCTGTTATCAGGGACAGAGCTTCTAAATGAGGCTATTTCCAAGGAGCATCTCCATGAATAGTTATTTACTCGGTGGCATATAGTTTCAGAAAAAAAAGTAGGACCCTTCCTAATTTAAAAAGAAGAAAAGTTGTCCATCCAGTCTCAACTTCTGTGGCAATACTTCTTTCTTCCCCCATTCTGCATTCCCTTAATTGCTCCTTTCTTGCCATGTTCAGGCTGTGCGTGCCTCTCCCTGAGCCCCAGTAGACCTCTAACAAGAACTAGGAAATGTAGTTATTCCCACTCTCTCTGTTTTCATTACGTCTGTATTAATAGTCTTCCTTTTCCCAACAACCTTTGCTGACAGAAAACCATTATCATATGATGCACATACACCATGCAAATTCAAGTTAATACACCATGATGCCGTGTAATACACTGTCCTGCTGCTGAGCTTAATCTAATGCAGTGTGATGTAGGAGGCACCACGACACAACTCAGTATTTTGTACCAGGATGCATTGTCTTGCAAAATTGTGCAGAGGGGTTACTTAAAAGCTCTCATTCTCCACCAGAATCTCCCAAGCCAGTGTATAGAGGCTGTCTATTGCCTGGAGGCCTGATATAGGCACCTGCTGGCATCAGCTGGGTGGCTGCTGGCTTCTGTGCCACCCTGTCCTCTCTTGACCATCTATGAGAAGGGCAGCAAGGGAAGAAGGGCTGTCAGAGGGGAATCCTCAAAATGCCACCGACCTAGACACCTACCAGTGAGCTCAATAAGCTTTACTCTTCACAGCTTTTCTATGAAAACGGGCTGGCTGGGTCAGAGGGAGTAGAGGGCACAGAGGATGCCAGCAGAGGATAGGGAGAAAGGAAGATTGTGTGGCTGTATGCAACCATCCAAAAAAGAATAAATTGGAGGTGTTAACACATTGCCTTCATGGATCCTGCCAAGAAGTTTAATTAAAGTCACTTGCTGTAGCAGAGTGACATACTTTCACTCCCAGCTATCACATCAGATGTGGTTTTATGAGATGGGCTACAACAGCAGAACATAGTTTCTATCTTTCTGTCTTTTTTTTTTTTTTTTTTCCTTTTTTTCTTTCCTAAGCAGAGGAAACTACGAGCTCGCATTGCAGGCAAGGAGAGGAAGACGGACTTTTTCTGTTGCAGTCGTGGTAAAAAACACTGACACATCACATGGCTCTTCTGGATCCCAAGCTCTGTCAATAGCTCTTTCAATCCCATATTCCCTTTTTCTCTAAAGTTTGGGTGCAGAAACAACTTGATTTGGAAAATTTGAGTGGTTTGGCCTTGCCTCTGTCTTCCATTCCCACATGTCCCACTGAATTTAGAGTTGCAGAGTCTGGATTGCTCATCAATGCACAGTCCCCACGGCATATCTCTGTCTGGGACAGACTCTGCATTACCCCTGTCTCCCCAGGGTGCTCACAGTAAAAAATCCCTAGGTTTTGGCAACTTTCTGCTCCCTATCTTGCAGGTCACTACAAGTCATTACTGTTATGGCACCATTACATCCCTCTATGACAGGGGAATTTCCCCCATCTGCCTTGGCTCTGCTGACAAAGAAGCCAATGCAAAATGATGCAATATGTCTGGAAAATTGTTCCAAGCATTCTTCTAGAGTCATACAGACTGTTGCTTCTCCTGAGAATAAGGCCATACCATGAGCCGTAAGAAATAGCCAGGTGGAAATAATTTGGCTGGTTTTAATTGTAATAGAGGATTTGTATCCTCTCACCAATGCAGTTACAGCTCTTTAATTCCTTGGACTTCAGTGTAACTCCATCTGGCATACCGTACACTGGTCTGAGACCCAGATCTACCATCTGCAAATCAGCAGCAAACTCCACTTTCCTTTCCACAGACAGATTTATGACAGCTGCTGCCATCTCTTCATTTTTATAGCAGACTGTTAATTTAGACTTTTCATTCAATTTAAATCCAGAGAAAATACCAGTCCACAGCAGCACTGACAATCATTCCTTTTCTAGAAACAATAACACTGACTAAACAATAGAATCTTTATTGTGAAGACTCAATAAAAGTTATGCTGACACTTGAGAAAAAAAAAAAAAAAAGACTTCAGACCATGGAAGGAGAAAACTCACCCGCCTGTCATAGTGATGAGCCCAAAATGAAACTTTTGAGCTGATGCTCCTGGACCTCTAGATCTTGGGGACAATGAAACCCAAATGTAGGCAAGGGACTGTCCAACATTTTTCCAGCTTTTCTTATTAACTGGGTGTGCCAGGATAGAGACTTCATATTTCCATGGCTCATATGCATTTCAT